TTGTGCCACGATAGCCGCTTTGCGTTCTCAATCTGTCTAGCAAACCGCTCCGACCAGACCCGATCACCCAGTGGGCACCCCCAATCACCATTTTGGCCCAATTCGACCATATTCGACTGAATTCGACTGTGACCTTCCAAATCAAACATGCTTGTTTTTTAAGGTCTCTAGTTAAATCGGCCGTATGGTGCCATCATGCCCCTCCATGGAGGAAAAACATCTGGCTTGCCCCGACGGATGGTTGGAGGGCGCCACTGGTAGGTCCTACTTCTTTACTTTCCTTCAGTTGGTTCTGTCTGTCTGTCTTACTTTTTCCTGGCACGAAATGACCATTATTGCGCTGATGTGCTTCCCTTCACACAAACAAACAAAACAAACAAAACCAACCAACCAACCAACCAACCAACCAATCAACCAACCAACCAACCAACCAACCAACCAACCAACCAACCAACCAACCTACCAACCAACCGACCGACCAATCAACCAACCAACAAATCAACACAACCAATCAATCAACCAAACAAACAAACAAACAAGACGCAGTTCGATGGGATCCGATTGGCAGCTTGCACTGGGTATTACACCATGACATTTTCACTACCTGGCTAAATTAAATCACTTGTGCTGTATGCAGTAACGTTCGTAATTGAGGGCAAATAAAAGCAAACACAAAAATTTTGATTATTCGCGGTTAAAGGGCTTTTGGGTACTAAAAATAGTGACCCCTCCTGTTTGAAGTGATGGTATGGACCTTGGAGTAAATATTATATAGTTACTCCAAGGTATGGACAGACAGGCAGACGTACAGACGAACTTACGGACAGAAGGACGGACGGACGAACGGACAGACGGAAAGACAGACAGATAGAGTGACAGACAAGAAGTGTGTCGCTTTGAAAACAGACAGACAGACAGACAGACAGACAGACAGACAGACAGACAGACAGACACAAGAACTTTGTCGTCTACCACCAAAGGCCATTACCGGATGGCTGATGATGTTTGACATCACCATGGAGTCCATAGCTGGAACCGGGGACACGGTATTGATTGAGTGTAGGACACGTTGACAAGGTAC